TAGCGTATTCAGAAGACCCAAATCCAGGTGAATGTGGTGGTGTCTACAAGAGGCACAGGTGGAAATCACATGGTGTGGATCAGTACAGCTGCCGATCCTCTGAACTGCTGAGGCTGCAGAATCACTTAATGCCATCCCCCAAACTTTGCAAGCTCCCACTGTCAGTCACTCACAAAAAACTGCCTTTGAGTCCTAAATGATCGTAAAAATAAAAACTCTTTACTACTGCCATCAAGGTGCCCAGGAGGCCTGTGAAAAGAACAGCAGGATGGGAAAGGATTATCGAAGATTGTTTATACTGCCATCCTCCGCCCTCCTTGGGATAGCCAGAGTTTTGAGGGTGAACCAGCCAATCCTGCCATGAAGGAAAGCTGGTATTTTCAGGGGTCACAAGAGCTCTGATACACTAAGTAGTTCAAAATGAGAATGAGATGGAAATGTAAATTCTACATACTCTGGGTTGGTTTGATGAGCTAGACTGTAACCTGGCAATTCCAAGGTCAAATAAGATGCAGTTCAGAGACCATTTCAGTAATTTTCTGAGTAGGGACTCAATGCTGGTAGCAATTTCACACATCGGAATGAACTCTGAAAAAGATACCAGTCTATCAAGGACAATTTAAAGGAGCCAGCCATCTCCATCACTCACTGGTTCCCTCGTTTGGGAAAGTCCATGGGTTACTGAACACATTCAAAGACAGAACGCACACTGCTGCAGAGTCCGGAGGAAGGAGTCAATGCAAGTAAGGAAAAGAAATCCAGCAAGTTCAGAATGGATCCTCCTGGGTGTCAAAGGGAGAGGTGGATTGGCAAATCCCAAGCCTCATTACAAAAGCTAATCAGTCTTTATTAGTGAAGTCTACACGAGATAATCCACGTAAAGGGTTTTAGCACAGGGTTCAGCACACTGTCATGTTAGCAATATATAACATTTACTGACCACTTAACAATAGTGAAGCCTCCTTAGCTCTCTCTCAAAGACAGCAGCAGAGGAAAAAAATCTGCAGCAAGTACTGACCCTGTTGAAGAATATTAGTTTTGTTTTTGCTTTGGTGCTTTTAACAGACAACACAGTATTTTGTGGGCGTTACATGCAACTGTCACAAGAGTGCCCCGTCCTTGGGAAGCTGGAAGAGAGGCTTGTAGGGCAGAGATTTCAGACAAAAGGTTAAAGAGGAAGAGCTGAAGCAGCCACCTCCTAAAGTTACTGAATCTGTGGTCCCTAAACTTATGGATTCTGCAGGGAAAGGGTTAAGGGAAGACTTAGTAAAGCTGGGACATTTTAGAGTGAGCACATTAGTCAAACAATGTGAAAAATCAGCAAAACTGCTTTGCCATGAGCAGCAGTCTCCCAGAAATAGGCTCTCATTTACTTTTCATTTCTTCTGCTTTCCAGTCTTTTCTCTTTGAAGCAGCTCTTGATTAGTTTCTTTTTAATTGCCACTTAATTGGGAAATAAAATTAGAACACTTATTTGATATCAGTGATGAGGCTTCTCTTTTCATTTCTGCTTTGATCTAGTTTTGAAGAACCAAAAGCTGAAGGGAGAAATTAAGAAAAAGGAACTAAAAAGATTTCTTCCTTCTAAGGACCAGATACAGCTATAAGCCATCAAATAAATGTGGAAAGAGCCACTCTTGGAGAAGCTGAAGAATAAAACAGAAGCAAGTAAGGATAGCTTTATGGAATCCCATTCAAAAAGACCTTTCTTTTCTCTTAAGTTTCTTCATAAGGAATAATATCGCATCATCAGGAAGTTAAGACAAACTCATAAGAACCCATTTTAACCTGTCCCCATGCAGTAAGAAAACAGAATGGGAAACAGACATCCCTGATCAAAGTGTTCTTGACCAATGACTTCCCAGCATCTCAGTGGTATTAACGACATTGCAAAATAAATTCCAACAGAATCCTAACAGCAAAACAGTGTAAAAATTCTTTCCCATTCCAAAGCATCCAAATAAACTTTGTTATCTCACAATTAAAATCTACTGCCAGCTGATAAGGTTTATTCTTCAGTGATAAATCTCTTACTAAAAACAAGCAAGCAAATTAAATCCTATAGATGAATCATGACCCACAGGGGGATGTAGTATAAAGATTATTTTAGCCTGACTCTCCACTCAATTAACTGCTCAAGGAAACTTATGCCAGGTAACTGGGGGGGTTGGGCTGGGGGTAATGCTACCCTCCTTTCTTTCCTCAGTTGAGCGGATTTTTTAAAAAATAGAAAAACTATAAAGAGATACACACACACATGCACACATCTATACTAAAGATGTATGCTTGTGAACATGTGTGTGCTTTTATGTATACATGAAATTTATACCCGCCAAATGTTTAATTATGGAAGAAAAAACCTCAGGACTAGAAAAATCAAGAACTAAAATACATAAAGAAGAGACATAAGACCCAGCACCAATGCACTTCCTATTATTCCAGTGCATGAAAGCAGCTCATTTCATCAGTGTAAAGCACTGAGCCCATCCTGAAAGAAGGGCCCAAGAGAACAAGGGTTGGTTTGAACTATCATTAACTTTTATTGCATATTGTCTGTTAGAACTGTTAGCATCAAAAGGAGATATTTTGATTCTTCTATCACTTTGAACACATTTAAAATAATATTAAGTAAAGACAAGCAACATTTCAAAAAGCCAAAAAACAGTGGAAAACTTCCATACAAAACTGAAGGATCCTTGGTTTCTGTGGGTATTTCACAGTAACTATAGTAAGGCTTATGAGACTTATTTGGGGAAAATTAAGTGTACATGTGAGAAAAATCTGATATCCTTCTCCTCAGCGAGGAGAAAGGAACCTGAAGTAACACTGGGCTGCAGACTTAACACGTCATTCATTCATCCAGCAAATATTCATGAATACCCACTAACTGCCAGCCATCTCCAAGACAAGATTCCTGTTCTGAAACTCCTAATGGTCAGGTAAGACAAGGCTTGGATACAAATGTTACTTAACTCCTGTCATGAGAAAAGCTACAAAAAAATATAGTATGTGATGCTGTAAGGGGGAGGGGGTTGGGGGGAGGACAGGGAAGATCTGAAGAAATAGAAGGGGGAAGGCTGCTTCAGATGTTATCTTATGTAATCTGGGCAAGTGGAGGTTAAGTAACTTTCCCAAGGACACGGGACTATTAAGTGTCAAACCAGGATTTGAACACATGTTTGAATGATTCCGAAGTCTATGCTTTTCCCATTGTACTACACAGCTTCTTCCCAAAACCGTTTCCTCTGACAATTAATGGAAAAAAATGTCAAGTCTATTCCAGATTTCAAGTGCCAGAACTAGACTCTGCCCTTCAGGCTGGGTCCTCTGTTTTTCACCTGTGACCTCCAAGCTCACTCATACAGATCTCTAGATTTGGGAAACCAATAAACTTAATTTGTCCATCCAGCCCATAACCATGCACTTGCAAAGAGTTTTTTAAGGTTTCCACTTTGTTGTACTCTAGATAAAACACAGAACTTTTTGCCAAACAGTCCTGCAAAGTGATTCACAGATTATAGGCAACAAAACCAACGAATAAGCTACAGACACTGGTCAGGGCAACAGTTTGTCATTGAAAACAAAAGCAACTACACACACAGCAAAGATGAAGTGGTACTTTCACTTCTGAAACGAATCTCGAATTCAACAACTCTCACATGTGACTGGGGTCTCTACTCAGAAGGGCCACTTTCCCTCCTTCCTGTTCCTAGTTCCTCTTTTTCAGCTCTTCCTTTCTCAGGAATCTAGAGGTTTTTTTCTTATTACAATAGATCTGTGTGCAAAAGGACACAGTCCTATAAAAACCAAATCTAACAAGCTTCCTTTTCCCCTGCACCTTCTTGTGGTTTTAAAGCCGACTGAAGAACATAAAACTAGATCTTTTAACCTAAGCATTCATCACAAGCCACTTATAAGCCATTTAAATAATCCTTTGTTCTCCTATCACTTCAAGGTAACAGAATCTCTCTTTAAAGTTTATCCAAAGACCTTAACCTTACCCTTTTACCTCCAGGGCTACCACCAACAGATTGATTCAGCAAAGGACAAGATGGCTACGAAAATCAGACCACCAAAGACTCAGCCAAAGTTATACATCCAAGAGTCTCTCATGACTTTCCGTTAGGAAACATATATATAGATAAGGAGAGTAAGCCTCTGCGCCAGCCACTGTAACAATGTGAGGAAAGAGAAATGATCGGGTGTGGCTTAAATTTGGAAGCTCAACACTCAAACGTTTGATGCGTTCCTTCTACCCGAGGAATACCCGGAAGCAAGACCCTAAAGTACAAGAGACGCAGTATTAAACCACTTCCAAACTGTCCAAGGAAGGACCATTACCCAATTTCTTGAAGCTCGAAGCTACTTCACAAAGTTAATAGAGCAAAGATACTGAAAGAACTAATTGTATATTGCTCGGGAAACTTATGGATCATTTGGAGCAGCGGACACCATATACATCAAAATATCATACAGTAATTACATAGGGTTTATAAGGTGAGTTTATATCTTGGGATTCTCTAGTAGTGATATTTGTACAACATAATTATGGTTGGTATAGCCTGATGAATTTCCTCCTTGAAGGTGAACTGAACTGCAGTGAAACGTTTTATTATTCATTTACTGCTAAGCACGTTGTTCACACAACACTACTGTAACATTCCTTTTGAACTGTACTGTTAGATGGACCTGTGTGTGCCATCGAAGGCCATCGTCCAACATGCTCTTTTCCCCGGACGCGCATGAGCCACATGACGGGAACATTACACAGAAGAACTTTTATATAATAAAAGTATTGAATGTCTCTGGGCCTTAACATACTGAGCACCCACCCCTGATAAATGACAAAGAAAGCAACCAATCGACAGACAGGATTCCAATGTCTCAGCCAATAGGAATGTGGGGGTAGGGCTACACTAAGCTCCTGGTGACTTCCCCGCACCCCAGAGACCCAGGTTGTGGCGGACTGGATGGGAATTGGACTCCGAGGATCTCGTTACCCCCGGTTGTAGCTGTTGTCCTCCTCGTTCTCGCAATCGCTGCAGTGCTCATGGCCGTTTCCATTCCCTTCCATCATCTGCGGCAGCGGAGGTGCCGGCGGCTTCACTGCTGTATCACTCTCGTCCGCCATCTTGAGTTGCGAGAGCCGGCCTCCGCGCCTCGCTACATGGGGGGTTCCTATTGGACAAGGGGAACTTGCGCGATATTCTGGGTTTTGTAGTTTTCGTGGCGAAAGTAGCCGTAGCTAGGAGCAGGTTATTCCCGGGAAACCGGAACAAGATGGACTACAATACCCAGAAATCTAGAGAGGAGGCAGTCGTGGGTGGGGAGCCAGACCTATCCGGAAGTTCTGGGAGTTCGGTCGCGCGGGAGGAAAGAAGGGCCCGAGGTTGGCGAGGCCCACGCTCCGCCACCGGGCGGTCGCGTTGCATGCTGGGAGTTGTAGTTCGATGCAGTATAGGGTTTTGGGCGTGGGCTCCAAAATCCTAGGTTTGACCTCAGCCGGCCCTGAGACGTTATTGGCTGCCGTTAAGGACCGTTACCATTCTCAGGTAAGTAAGAGGCCTTGAGGCCTGCGGCTGCGACCCACTGGAAGCCCAAATGCATAGGATTTTCTTGGAGCGCCTTTCTGCAAGAAGCCAGGTTTGCTCCTGACCGCCTTTCCTCGCTCGGGATTCTGGGCGGCCCTTGGTCGTTGGTAGCTCGAGGCCTCATGAAAGGCGGTGGATTGTGATGTGCGGAGCAGTGATCCTGACCAGTGACATCTGACTGCTCTGTCAGGCCTTAGCCCTTCTTGGCCTGAAGCTCTTTCCCACACAGAGTCTCTTTCATTCTCCGCAGCAGCCCTCCACAATTACTCACTTACTGCCATCTTCTCAACAAGTCTAGAAGGTGGGCACTATTCCCGTTTTTCACAGACAAGAAACTTGGCCCCAAAATTCGTGGGTAAATTGGATAGTCTAATAGCTAATGAGTGGGGGGCGGGGGGAGGCGAGAAGTATGCACATATGGATATGACTTAAACTCTCAAGTTCTTTACCACTAAAGTCCCATCGTCTCATACATCTACCCAAGGAAATCAATTATTAGAAGGTAATTTTGCCATCTTAAGCTATTTTTAGCCTTGACTGAATGCTCCAGTCCTTTGGGTCTCACCCCTGTGGTTAAGTAATCTCACCGGAGTGTTGAGGCAGAGCCCAAAGACATGGTTACCATTCCTAGAGATTTTCCGTTCAGCTTGGCTTATGTGGGTGTTGAGGGAAGGACAAGTTCTTATCATCAGAGAGCTGCATGAAATGATCCAGCCAAGAAGGGAAATGATCTTGCCTTTGGGATACTCTCAGCGTGGGAAGAGGAATAGAGTGGGAAGAAGTATTTCCCTTCTGATTCAGGAAAGCAAAACAAAAGAGAGCTAAATATAGTCAATGCTTGATCTTATACCAGTGGCAAGAGCAGAAGTGTTAATAATATGATCCAAAGCAGCAGGTAACCTGCAATCATTTATATTTGACTTTGGAATGCAGACTCTTGCTCAGGCTGAGAACTGTTACCCTTTTTTGTCTCTCTGGGGCCAAGACTGTGGTCAGCATGATGCCTTATATACAATGCAGGCAAAAGGAGGCGGTCCGAGATAACAATAAAGCCTTACATGTGTTAGATGGATTTAAATTTTCTAAGTATTTCAGTTATAATAGCTCATGTGACTTTGTGAAGGAGGCTTGAAGAAAACTGTGCTTGGAAAAATTTAAAAAAACAGTGATACCTAGTTGCAGACCTTGGACCAGAACTCATTTCTGGTATTCTAATTCTCAGCCCTATATTTTCTTTTCCTACAGATTTGCAGAGGCTGAATTAAGGCTAATGAAATGGGACTCATGAAGAGTGATTATGGAAGATGATGGTGCTGGTGTCTGTGGCCTCTTGCCATTCTTGCAATCTGAAGCTTAAGTAAGACACTCTGCATGGTATTTTACTGCAAACCAAGCAATTTTGGCTCAGTGGAGAGCTTTTCTGGGAGATAGGCAAGCAATGTGACTGAGGTGACCAAGCTCAGAATGCAAGTATGAGTCTAAGGTTCTGGAATCCAAGTTAGAATCTTCTAAAATCTTAGATTTCGTAGGATTCATGATTTCTCTATAGTAAAAATGTAAATTTTTATGTTTTTAAAAAGAAATTAAAAAAAAAAAGAAATTGAGTATATGTGATACTTGGTTTGTTTTTTCTTCTTTTGGCCATACCACATGGCTTATAGATTCTTAGTTCCCCAACCAGGGACTGAACCTGACCCTGGCAGTGAAAGCACGAAGTCCTAACCTCTGGACCACCAGGGAATTCCCAACACCTTTTTAAAAACTTTATGTTTATTATTATTTTTTTAAGAAATATCTTTTTTTTTTTAATTTATATTTATTTGGTTGTACTGGCTCTTAGTTGCAGCATGTGGGATCTAGTTCCCTGACCAGGGATCAAACCCAGTCCCCCTGCATTGGGAGTGCTGAGTCTTAGCCACTGGACCACCGGAGAAGTCCCCATCACCTTTTTTTTTAATGTCCATTTAATGACTGAATTTTGCCACATGTGATTTCAATGCCTGAGCTTACTTAAATGTCTAAGTAACTAAGCCTGTGTGCCACAACTACTGAAGCCTGAGCAGTCTAGAACCTGTGCTCTGCAACAAGAGAAGCCAGTGCAGTGAGAAGCCTGAGCTCTGCAACAAAGACCTAGTGCAGCCAAAAATAAATAATTAATTTTAAAAATGGAAAAAAAAAAGCATATAATCCTGTGTAATTCTAGATAGTTTTTTTTCCCCCCAAATACTCAAAGACTTGCTTTATTATAGTACACATGGGATGGAACTGATGGGAGGGGGTGGATGTTGTGGGCAACCACTGCCCTGATTAGCATCAAATGCCCATCCCGATGGCCATGAATGTGCCAAAGGTGCCGTCACTCTGCATCATGGTTTTCCCGATGCTGCCCATCAGCTCCCAGCCCCACATTCCCATCCTGAGACAGGAAAAGGTCCCGAAGAGTGCCCCTGTCGCCATGTCCATGGAGCAACCCAGCACGAAGCCCATCTTTATGCGGTCGAAGCAGCTTGGGTGGGACTGTCCATAGGGACCCACGGCCACCAGGCCACCAGCATCTTGCTTGTGGCTTTGGTCGCTCAGATCTGTGTCTTACATGGAATGCAAGCTGGAGTGCACTTGAGATCCTCTAGATAGTTTTTACATATTTTTCAATTAAATCTTGTTCCTGTTTCTCTGAGGTAAACATCCCCAGCTTTCTGAGCTCCACAACACATTAAAATGGCACAATTTTCCCATCTAGCACTTCTGGCTCTTGCTATCCACCCATTCTGGCAAGAGCCTCCTACAAGTGAGCGAGGTATAGCAGGCCCCAAAGAATGGCTGAAGGATATCCCTATAAACCTCTGCAGATTCTGGAATTTACTCCTAGTGTGCATACCTCCATTATTCCCTCTCGGTTATTACTGGAGACAATAGAATATAGTCATTAAGAGTAGGTTCCAGACTCTTAACTCCCTGGCTTCTAAGTCCTGGCTCTGCCTGTGACCCACCAAGTCACTTAGGCAAGTCACTTAGCCTTTCTGAGCCTCAGTGTCCTCATCTGAGACAGTGCACACATAGCAGTAAAGTGTTTTCCCCTCCCAGAAAGTCAGCATCACTCCTGGTGATCAAAAAAAACTTTCTCATGATGTCCATCACAGATTAAGGCCGTTGCTGTGCTCCCAGCAGATCAGAGATCCCTTTCTTCAGATGGGCCTGGGAAGGCATGAGCCAGGTCACCTTCATGATTCATTTAGCCAGTGGCTTGGAGCACTCATGTCCTGACATGTCAGGCTCTGTGGCAGAAGGTAGACAATTAGGGATGGACCACCACAGTCCCCTCCTTGGGTCCCCTCCCATCAGTTGGTAGGTGTCTGGTCTGACAGAACACAGTGCAGAAAAGAGTCGAGGGGTGGCCACAGGATGTAGCAGGAGCCTAGAGGTGGAATCCTTAACCTGGGGAAAGGGGTTCTGGAGGAGATGGCTGAGCTGAGTTTTGGTAGCAGAAGCAGACAGACTGGGTGGACATCCTAGGCAGAAGGTATGAAAGTGGGTCCTTTGGAGGTATCACAAAGGAGAATGATGTGGCCAGCTTGGAGTGTGAGGAGCATTTTGGAAGTTGAGACCAGAGAGGCAGCCAGAAGTCAGACCGGGAAAGGATGCAGCTGCCATGCTGAGGAGTTTGGACTTTACCCTGAAGACTGGGAACCACAGAAGGATTTTAACTGGGGAGAAAGATGATGCAATTTTTGTTGGAGAAAGATCATACTGGGCAACATCCTGGCTCTCCTAGGGAAAAGAGCTTTTCTCCTCTGAAAAACAGGGCTAGTGGGCTCGATTGTGAAATAGGGGCTGGAGAGATGGTCTTTGACAGCTCCCTGTCCCCCCTAGAGCTCACGCTCAGAAAGGGCATCCTTTCTCCCTGAGACAGTCCCTGAAATACCAGGTCCCTGGACTGCAGTGGGCCCAGGCTTCTGCTTGGTGCTTTGGGATTTAAGAGAGTGCCAAGCATTCCTTGCCCAGAAGGCACTTCCAGTGAAATCCGGAAAACCAGGCACACTTGAAACCAAAATAACAAGGCCTGACTGGGTGTGATTAAATGAACTGGGTAGATAAGTTAACTGAAAATGGTGGTGGGGCAGGCACTGCAGACCTCTGGGCCAGGGTGGTTAGAAAAGGCTTCCTGGAGAAAGCAGGACTCAAACTGGGCCTTGGAGGCAACTTAAGCCCTGGATTCCCCCATAATGATCATTTTGGGGGGCCCTGTGGACCCACTCCTGAGCTGGAACCACAGCCGTAGTTTTACTTTTTTAAGTTTATTAATTTTTAAAATTATTTATTTGGCTGCACCAAGTTTTAGTGCTGCATGCAAACTCTTAGTTGTGGCACAAGGGATCTAGTTCCCTGACCAGGGATTGAACCAGGCCCCCTGCATTGAAAGCGCCAAGTCTTAGCCCCTGAACCACCAGAGAAGTCTCCCTGCAGTTTTACTTTTGTTTGTGTGGTTGTTCAATTTGCAACCATTTTCCCCTTAGAAGACCCTGTGTTCTATGAAGGCAGA